GTGCTCTTACCTTGATGTGCACTTTTGCTTTCATCAGTAAACTCAGGGTGGTGTGCCTGTTGGAGTCTGGTCCCAGGGGAACTAGGGATTTCAAGCGCTCCAAACACAATCGTAAATGGGCCCGTCTGAAATAGAAGGAAAAAACAGAAATATATAACGACACACTTCAAGGCATGCCTTTCAGAGTGTTACTAAAATTAAATGCCATGGGGCTTTTTTTACGAGCTTGCCTGACACTTGACAACCTCACCCTTCGGCACTCATGACACATCTGCGTACTGTCCCTAGACTTTCCTCCACATCCATTTTTTTTAGGTGTCGTCTCTTTCCAGAAACGTCATTATTTTATTGGCAGTAAATGGCAATGATGTACACTAATGAATATTTTGAATGCAGTGCCCGAACATTCCTATATACACTTCTCTTGGCCCCTGTGGAGAATCCCCGTGACTGGAAAGCAACAGGACCTTTCTGAAGATGGGGAAAAAAATCAGCATTTTTTACTCTTGCCTTAATTTGCCAAGTTACACTTCTACTTTCGATACTCTTTACTCATAAACACCCAGTTCTCCATTTGATTGTACCATTACAACCCATACTTCTCCAGGGGCACTGAGGATAGAGGTGTCCTGCGATCCACTGTGTATTCTGGCACAATGAAACCACGCTTCAGGACGACATTTTCAAGTGACCCCTATCAACTATTGCTCAATGTCATGACAATTTCACATGACTGGGTCTCCTCTGCTTCTGCCAAATGGAGAAGATGAAAATCAATGTGCAGGGACAGACATGTCATGGCCTTACATTTTCATAATATTTTCCGACCCACACTGCCTCATCTAAAACATGCCGTCACTTATCTCTGCACTGTAGTATCTCTTTGAGGAAGACATGCTTACGTGACTCAACAGGTGCTGTACGTGACTCAATTTCATTGTACGCATGACCAAAGCATTTCAAGTACGGACAAACCAGAGCTTACTAACATTTCTGTGGCCATAGCCATTATGAAAGTGTAAAAAAATGAAAAAAAAAATCTTGAAAAGAGAATAACGCCGCTACAAACATCCAAACGTCCGTGCAAAAGGCGATACTGCAATTCATTGGAATTGGAAAAAGATGTCTGGGTAAGTAAACTTTGCAAAATAGGGCTGTAGGCATGGCCGAGTAACTCATTCAACACTCTGAATCTTAGATTATACTAATTTATAATTTCCATTGTCTTCTTAAAAAAAAAAAACTCAGGACAAGGACAACAGTGCTAACCCCCAATGGTGAGGCTGATCAGCTAGCCTCTGTTCCAGCCAGTGCACGCATCTTTAGGAGATCAGATCATACAGCTGCCCGTGCAGCTCTGCCTGACCAAACCTGGGCAGAAGTGCTCAACTTCCATCAGACCACTTCAGGACAGACTGTCTTAAATAACCCATCACTTCGCAACAGCCTCCCTTTCTAACAGCACCAAAAGGTGGAACGCTATTGAGAGGCACATGCAGTTCTCCTATACTGTACGTGAGCCCCAGGCAGCCTTCATTCCTCTCTGTGCACTGGGACTCTTCCTACTGACACTTTTCACAGCTGCTCCAGTCACTGGAGGTCACCTGCCACATGATCCCTTCTTACATAAGAGCGCTCAGGACGGTTTCATCTGCTGTGGGCGCAGTGGAGATACGATTCCCTGTTGCTTGTGTCAGGCCATGTGGGTGTGTGTACTGTCTGTGTGTGCGTGCCTGCTGGTTCGTGTGCGAGACAGAGGAATGACTCAAGCGCGTCATACAGGTGAGGCTAGGGCTTTGATCAAAGGGTAGGTCACAAGACGGGAAGACCAGATAAAGGAAACGGAACAGAAGTCAGTACCTTTCCAGTAATCGTCAAAATAGGATTCCCGAAAGAGATCTTTGCATTGCTTAACTATACAAATGCAATATAATTAACATAATCAGAACTACAGTAAGACCTGTACAGGCACTATAAGCGTATTTTAAGTTCTCAGTAATTAAGACAGAGGGACATGGTTATTACATTAAATAATTTCAATTAACTAAACAGATGTCTGCCAGTGTTTTTTTTTTGGACAATTACATTTGTGGTTATTGTGTATGAATAGATGGACTAGTTTTAAGCATGCAGTCAGGAAAATTGCAGGCTGATGAATACAGCAGTGATAATTATTTAAGGACATTTAACATGGATGCTGCCAAGAGTGAGCTTTATTCCTTTTATCACCACATATTCTGGAATGACGAGTGAAAAAGTATCGAGACGAAATGTTTCCGATTCGTACACTAAGAAAGCCATCACGCACGCCAACAGGAGAGAGATGGTTTCAACACCCCTACTGCCTAGCATCACACAGACTGTGCTAATGGTGTGTAGAAAATGGCAGAACAGCTACTTCTGTAGATTAATGGAGAACAACACCAGATGATATTTAAAAATAACTCCAGGCTCATCACACAACCAAGGCTTCTTTTCCCTATTATTTTAACGGGCAGCGCAGTGGTGAGATAGTAAGCACTGCTTCCTCTTTCATGTCCTAAGTCTGCTTCCAGGCTGGGTACCTTCTGTGTGGAGTCTGCATGTTCCCCACATGCTACCATAGGCTTCTCTAGGTGCTGAAGTTTCCTTCCACATTCAAATTCCAGAGAAGCCCCATCTTTTGCCTGGCGTGAGGTGTGTGCCTGTCCTGTCTGCCAGGTGGCTGATTCTCCGTATCCCTCTGTGGGATGAAGCTACTCAGGCTAACAGATGATGTTTTAAGCCACTGCTTAATCTTTCCTTGATCTACTGCAAAGCTCAGTTTGGTAAGCGAATCATATAAAAGTGTTCTAGAACTAAAGGCAAGGGAAAAGGAGCAGGCCCACCACAATCTCAGAAGTAACCTTCATGGCCAGCCACAATTATTCTTGAAAGTGTGAAGTGTGAAGTGTGAAGTGTGTAGGCAGGTAACAAGACTTCCTTGGGAAACCACTTCTTCCGTGACTAGAAGAAGAGAACTTTACTCCTTTCCTCTTCTGCTGGGTGGCTGTGAATGATCTCTCAGGACAACAGCGCAAGCGAAACCCCCTTTCACGTCAGCCAGACATCTCCCCCCCCCCCTCCACCCTTAGCTAGGACGATCTCTCGTTCCAACACGGGCGTCAGCTCTCCACCACAGGAGACAACGGGCAAGCCCAGTGCGGGCCAGCACTAACACTTAAAGCCCTTTCAGGCTGCACGGCCTTAACGCCAGCTGGTCTTCTGAAATGGGAATGTTCTATTTTTAAAAGTGTAAGGATCTCTGTGAAAGTCACAAACGACACCAGAGCCAGCCTGCGTCTGCACCTCTGCCTCTTTCACCTCCGCGGGTCTATTCAGACTGGGGACGACGGTTTATTGAGAATGGGCTTTATTTGGGAAGCGGGGGAGCAGGCAGGGAAAGGTGGGTGTTGGAGTCCCGTGTCTGAGAGATGCCCAGTTCTCCCACTCTCCTCCAGCTTGACGTGGAGCCGGGCCAGTGTGGCAGTGCCCGCCTGAAAAGCCTCCTGGCTCTGCCGAGAGCTGGCAGAGACCATGTGTGCGCAGGTGCTGCTCGTGAACTCAGAGCTGTGCTTTTTTTTTTTTAGGTGAAAAAATGGAAGATGAGGGAATCTGTTAGTGATTCAAGGCGTATCTGTGCTCGGAGTCTGAGCTGCAGAGCCCAGTCAGCAAATCCCCCTCTCCTTATTTTAAAAACACTGCCCAACCACCCGCCCGTGGTCTGCAGCAGAGCGCCGACAGACAACAAGACGCAGCAGCAGAAGTCGGCCGGCAATTCCTCACCTGCCACCCTCATCACACTAACACCGGATTAAATCCGCACTGCCACTCGCAAAACAACTTTGGAACTCGGTGGAAGCTGTTGGTGTGATAGACACTTCAAGTTCTGGGCTTTTTAATTCACAAATGGTGGGGGATGGGGAAAGCAGAGGTTCTGAATCCAGGCTTGTCCTGAGCCACAACCAGAACTCTCCTGCAATGGCAGGCCACGCCAAATCACTGCCCGTTTCCTGACAACGCCTCCCACCAGCCCAGACAAACAGCAGGTTAGTCTCGTCTGGTGGGTGTGTGTGTGTGTGTGTGTGTGTGTGTGTGTGTGTGTGTGTGTGTGTGTGTGGCCGTCTAATGCCCGCTCTGTTCTAATCTGCAACAGCAGGTTCTTCTCGTTTGGGGCACATGCGTGTGGCTTTGTAATGACTGCTCTCTTCTAATCCTGCAGACGGATCATTGCTAATGAGCCAGGCCCCCGATCCCTGCGAGCCCTTGCCACGCCTCGTCTCGTCTCCCACGCGCTACCTGCCCGGCCCACTTCCCCTGCTGCAGGTGTGCTCTACGCCCGGCTGCGTTGCACTGGGACATGCGAGAGGAAACGGCAGAAAAAGTGATGCAATAAATCAAGGCTCTACAGCACAGCAGAGATCAGATCTCCACTGCTGCATTTAAACCACACTGGGAAAGAGCATGGAAAAGGATGTGCAGGAGTAATATTTTTGATAACAGATTAACCAACAAACAGCAACGGAGTTTAGCCAGGACTTGAAAATCCCTCCTTCACATTTTTGGCCTATTCAAGGGTGCTGGAGATTCGGGGGTCCCAAATGATTTTTGCGAAATGCCGGGGCAAGGAGTTCGAGTCTGTTCAGTTCCCACGCTGGCAGCGTTGAGGAGTGGGGTCTGGGGTGTGGGTACAGAAGGCTGTGGAGTATGATCATACACATCCCAACAAACAGGCCAACTCCCCCCTGCTCCTACTACTGACCGGCCAGGAGGAAGAAAGAGAATATCGGATATCGTGTCTTAGGACGAATACAGACTAATTAAAGCAAGATTTGTTTTGTTCTCTCCTTCTTTGCAACGCCCAAACCGGAGTCTTAAAAATCCGAAGGCAGGAGATCTGCCCCCCTCTCCGCAGTGCTCCCAGGCACGCTCTGGCAGCCAGACAGACCCCATGCTGATAAATCCCCGACATATGGTGACCCTGAAACTCAGACATCATCCCTAGAATCTGCATCCCTTAAGACATTCACCTGGGCCTGCCCTGCCCTGCCCTGCATTAAGACGGCACAGCCTGGAGCAGTCTCCCCATGCTGGCTGGACACCACAA